AGAAGAGGCTCTACCTGGTTAATTGTTCAGCATTTCAGCTTTCACTAGTTTGACTCCAACTAGTTCACTAGTTTACTATTTAATTAGTTAACATGTCAGAGCTTTCACAACTTGAAGTACAAGAGAAGCTTTAACTAGTTATCTTACCATCATTTTAGCTTTCATCAGTTCTTAGTCTAAACATTTCGAGCGTCTCTAGTTAACTAGTAGGTTAAAAATCTGACAACCGTGTGTGTGTTTGTGTGCTGGATGTTGTTTAGTGGATATTCATGTGTGTCTCTGTTTCTTTTTCTCATTAGCACAGCAGTCAGAGGAGGTTCAATGTTTTAGTTGTCATCCCAGATGTAAAGTTCAGTTTGAGTTCAGCTCCGAGCGTTGTGTAACTTTGTAATGCTTGTGTGTCTGTGTGCTGCTGTGCATGTGTTTGTGTTACAGAAAAGAGAACAGACAAGTCGGCGGTGTCCGGTGCCATTCGTCTGCAGATCAGTGTGGAGATCGAGGGAGAGGAGAAGGTGGCGCCCTACCACGTACAGTACACGTGCCTTCACGAGGTAACAACCGGTCGTATGTTCAAAAAGTGGGATGTTAAAAAAAAGATGCCATAAAAACACGGTCACAAACTGAAAGAAAAACTAAATAAACAAAAAACATGAAGATAACGGCAAATATGCAGTAAATAATGATATTTTACTGATTCGAATACAGTAAAAAACAAAGAAAGTTTATGGTCACAAGTTGTAACACATGTTTGTAACTAACAGGCTTTTGATGTGGTTGTGTACAGTATCAACCAGTTTTTTTTAGCGGTCAACATGTAAATTCACACTTTTTTCCTGTGATTTTACTTGATATTATCAGGAATTTAACAAAAGAGGGAAAACCTGTGAAATAGCATGTAAAAAGTATGTACCATTTTTCAAATCTTAATGCAAAGGAATTGAAAAATACATAGCAACAGAACATATTTCTTTCAAATATTAGCACATATGTGGAAAACAGTGATATTTCTTGCTAATTTAAATACTGTGGAAAAACATTTTTGTGTAATTTTACAGTCAAACTTTGGAAAAGAATGAATTATTGTTAGTAAAAAATACAGATTGTTGATGTGGACGTTATTGACTGTTTAGTGTTTGTGCTTGTTGTTGTTTTGGTTTTGTTTTTTTAGTCACCATTTAGAATATTTTTTCCGTCATTTTACTGGTTATTATTTGCACGTGAACTGACTACTTGTGTAAATATGTCAGGAAATAGTGACACAGGTGTTCAAAGAAAGGCCATCAGCAAGACATTTCACATTTCTGCTCTTTATTTGTATTTTACATTAAGGACAAGCATCATGAATAGAAATATACACAAAGATTATTTATCTTTGAGAAAATCTTTACTGGTAAAAAGACTCCAATTTACATTTATTCAAAACTCATTATTGGTTTATTGTCATTTCTTGTGTTTTTACATACATTTAAAAAATAAAATCCTGTTTTCCCAGTTTCAGTACAGTGCAACATAAAAATGAAAACAATAAATATGAATAAATGTAAATAAAAATTGTTTGTTTTTTAGCCCGGTGTAATCGCTAAATAACTTTGAGCTCATTTGTGAATTTCCACCAGATATTACAGATGAATCTACGAATCATTTAACCGCTAAATCAATCAACGTTTCTTTTTCAAAAGGAATAATTCCTCAAAGATGTTTTGAGGATTAGCAGATGTGATTTAGAAGTGATGATTTTGATGAATTATTTCAGATATAAACAGACTCATCCTTTGAGAAAATCAAAACAAAACGCCGCCTTAAGCTGATTAATTCAATTAACAGGCGAGATGTTGGACTCGGCTTTAACGATGTTGACCGGTGAAGATTTACACCTTTGCTAACGACCTTTGAGGCCTCAAAATGTCACGACGCCACCGTTTTTATGTGCGCGTGTGAATAATTTATTGAAAATTCGAAACTGCATGCTGCTGATGTTTAACCTCTTTCTGTCCAGAACATGTTTCACTACTCGACGGACGTGGAGGGAGGCGGCGTGGTGAAGATCCCCGCCGCTCAGGGAGACGACGCCTGGAAGGTTTACTTTGACGAGGTGCAGCAGGACGTGGTGGACGAGTTCGCCATGCGCTACGGCATCGAGTCCATCTACCAGGCCATGACGTGAGTTGGAGGCCGCGGTGTTGGCCGGCGTGAATCTAATCAGGAAATGCCTCAAATTGTGATATTTTTAGCCCCGCGTGCTGCTGTGATGAGTCGTGTGCAGGAACTATAAACAGCATGCAAATCAGTTTATCTCGTCTAATGAGAAAAGATGACCCGTCACCTCCGAGATTTCCGTCCCGCTTGATCGGATGGGCGGCGGCGGATGGAGAGAAGCTCACAGCGGAGACACAAACAGACGGGCTGGTTTAATTACGTTAATAAAGTCAGAATGTGAACTTGCAGGCGACAGAAGAAAAAAAAAGGTCTTTGTGTTTGTTTGTTTTCGTGTAACACAATCGAGCGAACCGAAGCTGTGAATGGAGACGTGAGGCGTTCAATGACACGGCCAGATGCAAATGGTGATTGAAGTACGCAGAAACGCTGAAGCCATTATAGGAACCACATTCTGGCTGCTTCACTTCTGGCGAAATGTCTTTTTATTTTCAGTTTTATGGAGCCTGTCAGGCGTCTCGTATTTCACACTTTCAAACCGGTGACTTGTGCTCTCCGATGAATAGTTTGTGGTCGATAGAGCATAAGTTAGTGCAGTTTCTCATTTTACAGACAACACAACATTTAACTGGCAGGAATCTGTGGGAGGATGTATAAATGATAAGAATCTTTATTTATCGAGCACCTTTCAAAAAGTACGACTTCTCAAGGCAGCAAAATGAAAAACTGAAATTAAATCATCAAAATTTAAAAGGTTAATAAAAAAAACAGTTTATGACACCAACACAGCGTAAAAAATATTATTAAAAGACATATTTCAAAGGGAATTAAAACTCAGGTAAAATCTGGTAAAAGTATGTTTCAGAGATCTCTGAATCAGGGCCTCCACTGCAAACCTCACATTTAGTTGGCAGATCTCAACATGTGCACCGGTGCATATGGCAGTGAAGGTTAGAAATCTAGAAAATAAGCCATGAAGGGCCTTTAAAAAAAAAAACAATCTGGAAAATCTTAACAAGTGTTAAAACATACAGGAATTACAGAGTCAGAATAAAAAAGATTCATTTTTGTGTGAAACTGTGTCATTTTATGGTCAAATGCTGTAAAGGAATTTGCAAAATACATATTTAAAGTTTTGGCCTGTTTTTTTTTTTTTTGCAATTGACATGTAAGTAAAAAAAAATTCTGTTATTTTACTCTGTTATCTGTAATTGAACAGGGGAAATCTGTACAATGACAGTAAACTGTTCAAAAAGTACAGTTAAAACCTGTTTTTACAGCGTAGTGAAGACAGATTGTTATTAAGTTAATTGTTGAAATGAAAGTCAACAGATGAAGATATTCTTACGTTAGCTCCCTAGTATGCTTTAGAACTTCACAAATGTTCAGTTACTAGTTTAACTATAGTAATATTAAAAAAAGCAATTCAATATTTTATTCTTCTGTAATCTACTTATTTTTCTCATAATAATAATGATAATAATAATAATAACAATAATAACAATAATAATAATAATAGCAGCAGCAGAATGTGACTGAGCTGTTTCATGCTTAAAATGATATTAGTGATGAATCAGAGAGGTTGGGAGGGTGGGTTATAACTGTATACTGCTGATTTAATACACATTTAATTCATGTCTTTCTTTTTTCTCTCTCATCACCTGCCTCATCCTTTCCTCCCTCCATGTACTCGATCCTCCTCCTCCTCCTTCTCTATAAATGACTTCCTCCTTTTCATCGTCTCCTGAACCCTCCTGCCGTCACCCTTCTCGCCAACCTTCATCCACCCTGTTGTTTTTTTTTTTTCAACCTCTCCCTCATTATACACCTTCAATCTTTCCTCCTCTTTGTCTTCCTCCCCCTCCTGTCTCCTCCTTTTGTTTTCCTGCCCAGCCATTTCTCCTGCCTGTCCTCTAAGTACATGCTGTCAGGGGTGCCGGCGGTGATGAGCACCCTGCTGGCCAACATCAATGCCTTCTACGCCCACCCCACCGCCTCCACCAACGTCTCCGCTCCGGCCAGATTCGCAGCCTCCAACTTCGGGGTGAGTGACCACCGGCCACGCTGAAAGAACCGCAGAGATTTTCTGCAGGATGTCCATGAAGTGTTTTCATTTGTTTGTTTGTGTGGGTTTTTTTTTTTTTTTTATCAGGGACATTGCACATTAATCAACATTAATGTGCTGGCGTTAGCCAAGTCGCTAATTTTAAGAAGCTGTCCTGCAGCCAGATGTTACATTAGCCTTTAAAACAACAAAGTTAAAGCTCAGACAGGAGGAAGCGAACAAGAAAAAAGGGCAAAAACACTTAAAAAAATGAAGCAAGCAGCATGACGGCAATGCAAACAGTTGATACAAGGTGCAATTAAAATAGACAGCACAGATAGATAGATAGATAGATAGATAGATAGATAGATAGATAGATAGATAGATAGATAGATAGATAGATAGATAGATAGATAGATAG